GCTGAGCCTGCTGGCTCCCAGCTAACGACAGAACAAACAACAGGAATCCATGTGAAGCTTTTCCAGCAGAAAAACAAATCCAGAATAAATGTTCGGCTGTTGCTGGACCCAAACTCACGTGAACTTTGGATCCACACCTGCTGACCGCGTGCCGGAATCACCCACCAATCACGAGGACCTTCTCCCTTTGCTCCACACGGGGGCAGTGTGGTCGGTCCGGAAGGAGGCGAGACACCAACGAAGAAGAAGGGACTTCCGGGTCAGCGGAGCAGCCAGAGGCAGAAGAAGAAGAAAATGTTGCTGGTTCTGTCCGAGGAGCACAAAGAACACCTGGCCTTCCTAAAGGAGGTGGATAATAGCGGTGAGTGCGCGTGCGTGCGTGTGTGTCTGTGCGTGTCTGTGCGTGTCTGTGCGTGTCTGTGTGTGTGTGTGTGCGCGGGTGTGCGTGTGTGTGTGTGGGTGTGTGAGTCTGTGTGTGTGTGTGTGTGTATGTGTGGGTGTGTGCGCGTGCGTGTGTGCGTGTGAGTCTGTGTGTGTGTGTGAGTCTGTGTGTGAGTGTGTGTGAGTCTATGTGTGTGCGTGTGTGTGCGTGTGTGTGTGTGAGTCTGTGTGTGCGTGTGTGTGTGCGCGCGCGTGTGTGTGTGCGCGCGCGTGCGTGTGTGTGTGCGCATGTGTGTGCGCGTGCGTGTGTGTGTGCGCGTGCGTGTGTGTGTGTGGGTGTGTGAGTCTGTGTGTGTGTGCATGTGTGTGCGCGTGTGTATGTGTGGGTGTGTGAGTCTGTGTGTGTGTGTGTGTGTGTGTGTGTGTGTATGTGTGTCTGTGTGTGCGTGCGTGTGTGTGCGCGTGCGTGTGTGTGTGTGGGGGGGCAGTCAGCTGATCACGGACACAGAGAGACCAGTTTTCCCTCTAAACTCCTTAAAATAGTTTCTGTCCTTTGTTCGGTTTTGCTCTGACAGAAGAGTTGGACCCGTTTAATGTTTCGGGTCAAAGTTATAAAAGAGAGGAAGCTGTTAATACAACTAAATACAACAAAAGGCCCAAAACAACTGAAACATGATCTTTTATCTGCTGTATTCCTGCTGTATTCCTGCTGTATTCCTGCTGTTATCTGCTGTATTCCTGCTGTTATCTGCAGTATTCCTGCTGTTATCTGCAGTATTCCTGCTGTTATCTGCTGTATTCCTGCTGTTATCTGCTGTATTCCTGCTGTATTCCTGCTGTTATCTGCTGTTATCTGCAGTATTCCTGCTTTTTTCTGCTGTTATCTGCTGTATTCCTGCTGTTATCTGCTGTATTCCTGCTGTTATCTGCAGTATTCCTGCTGTTATCTGCTGTATTCCTGCTTTTTTCTCCTTTATTCCTGCTTTTTTCTCCTGCTGTTATCTGCTGTATTCCTGCTTTTTTCTCCTGTATTCCTGCTTTTTTCTCCTGTATTCCTGCTGTTATCTGCTGTATTCCTGCTTTTTTCTCCTGTATTCCTGCTTTTTTCTCCTGTATTCCTGCTGTTATCTGCCGTATTCCTGCTGTTATCTGCCGTTATCTGCCGTTATCTGCTGTTATCTGCAGTATTCCTGCTCTTATCTGCTGTATTCCTGCTGTTATTTGCTGTATTCCTGCTGTTATCTGCTGTTATCTGCTGTTATCTGCAGTATTCCTGCTTTTTTCTGCTGTATTCCTGCTTTTTTCTGCTGTATTCCTGCTGTTATCTGCAGTATTCCTGCTGTTATCTGC